ATTCTGGTTCTCCTGTTCCCTATATGTCTTCTCCATGTTTATCTCCTCACTACCCCACCCTCTTCAAGTCCCTCAGGCACACCCCCCCCCTCCTTCATGCGTAGAAGAATGACACTTGGATATGCCACTAACAACAACAACAACACAACAACTACCATCTGGAGAGTTGTACTCCACGCCAGCCAGTGAGCTCTGTGTTACGTATTCAATCTTCATAAGAGTGAGATCATCGGTATTCTCCCAATTTTACATATGAGGTGTCGGAGGCACCGTGGGGCCAACTCCAGAGTCCGCGCTCTGTAGTAGCCAGCTGAGGGTGATGCCCACCAGTGCCCGGGGCTTCTAAGACAGGTCCCCTGTCAGGTGTCCCAACTCCCAGCGCAAACCAGCGGAGCTGAGGGCCTGCGGGCCAGAGCAGTGCCCCCTACCGGCTCCCAGAAAGGAAACTGTAAACCCAGGGAATCAATGGGACTTGGCCTCTATTCCTTCCATAGCCATTCAAGGAAGATGTATTGAGAACCTACTGAGTACCTGCTCAGGAATGTCCTGCCCTCTGGAAGTTACACTGGGGGCAGGGAGATACAGACAGTAAACAGGAAACAAGAACATGTACTGGGGGGGGGGGGGGGCGTGCAGATCCAGCCACGTGCATGGGCAGTGCCTGCGCGGAGGGGTGGCCAGGAAAGGCTTCTCAGAGTGGGTGATAGTTCAGGTGACACCCGAAGGCCTGCGGGACAATAATAACACTACCAGGTACTTAGTGTGTGCCATGCTCTGGAGCACTTCTGATGCATGAACTCATCTAACGTGTTAACTCCTGTATTTATCCTCGCAGCAACCCTGGTAACAAGTACTTGTAGTGTCGCCATTTACAGACAGGAAAACCAAGGCACAGAGAGGCTAAGCCACTTGCCCCAGGCCACGTAGCTGGTAACCTGCAGAGCTGAGGTTCCAACACAGGCCCCTTGGCTCCTAAGCTGCTTCGTATCCACTGCACTGCGTCCATGTGCCCTGTGGAGGGCAAAGAAGGACCCAGCGTGTGCCCACTTCGGGGGGAAGCATTGGGGCAGAGGGGCCCAACCCTAGTGCAAAGGCCCTACGGAAGGATTGAGCTTGGCTTCTTCAGGAACTTCAGGAGAGCCAGAAGGGTTGAGAGCATTTTTATTCTAGGGGCAGTGGTGAGGCACTGGGGTTTTGAGCAGGGGAGCTGCACACTCCAGTGTATGTTTTTAAGAGTTCACTGTGGCTGCCATGTGGAGAGCAGACTGGAAAGGGACGGGTGGGGAGGAAGGGGAGAAGCAGGGAGTGTGCTGAGAAGATCATCCCTCCCTCACTCTACCCCCCTTTCCTTCCTATCATGCTTAACTACGATCTAAAAGGTCTTCTCATCCGCTTGTTCCCATCGGTGTTGTCTGCCTTCCCCACTGGATCACAGTAATAGCCACTGCCTTTGCAAGCAGGAGTCAGGGATCCTATGGAGTGTACCACCTCCACCCTGCCCCCCGAGCCTGCTCCCACAGCGCCTGGTTCCACCACAGCTTCCTTTCCAACCCATGCAGCTCCTCTGGACCCCAAACTCCCAGGCTGGGGACTGGGGTACCCTAGGCCAGCAGTGGCCCGTGAGGTCGGAAAGGTTGGCGACCGCTGGTTTAAAGAAACCTTTGGAGCAGCGGACCACTGGTGGTCTGTGAGGTCTGAAAGGTTGGCGACCACTGCCCTCGGCCACTCCTGTCGGCTTCCCTGTCCAGATTCTTGGTCCCACTGCTGACCCTTCCCATCTGTGGCTTCTCCCCTTCAGGATGCCTCATGGACCAGCCCCATACTTAGTGGCCTTTTCACACTGTTCTGTGCCCTCTGGAAGGGCTGCTATTGGGTTAGAACACAGACCAGATTCTAACCCTGATCTGCCACAGGCTCATCCTATGACTCTGGGCAGGTCCTACTCCCTGAGACTCAGTGGCTGCACCTCAGAGCACAAGTAATGCCCCGGGAGTCAGCGATCGCTGTATGGGAAGCTCCTGGGTAGTGCCCAGCATGTTTTAGGCATGAGGCACACCTTCCTTTTGTTTTCATTGTCTCACACCCCATCCTGCCCAGCCCCCAAAGTGGCTGAGAAGATGTCAGGGGAAAGTGCTCCCGAGGGCATCTGGCTCTGGTGGCTTATCCCTCTGCCTAACTCCGTGTAAGGGAGGGAGCCAGACAGAGCAGTGTCTCCAGGCATGGGATTCCCGGGGAACCAGTGCCCAGAGGTGGTCCTAGGCAGCTTCAGGGGATATCAGCCTCTTTCAACAGACCGTCCCTCACATGTGTGAGGAGGATGGCAGATCTAGGCCCACAGCCTATCCAGGTATCGGGTTCTGTTGACCTCTGGCCTTGCTGATTCGCAGGGTCAGTGTTGGGTTTTCCAGGACAGGCTAAGTGGCCTTTCTTGGCCACCTTGGGGCAGGGGATGGCTATTAAAGGGGATGCAGGACAGTCCCTCTTCTCACCAGGCCCGTGTCCCTGGGACGACCAAGGAGAGACACAGAAATGTCATCTGTTGAGCACCTATGTGCCCGGCACCATGCCAATGATGCTTGGCAAGTGCCTCACCTAATCACCCTCATGGCATCCTTTGAGGGGTAGCATCAGCTCTATTTTAGAAATGAGGACTCGGGGTGCTTTGTAGCCCACCAAGGCCCCCCTCAGTGCCAGTGCTGACACAGCTGTCTGCCTGACCCCAGTCCAACACCCATGCTCTGTGCCCGCACCCGTCTCGCCATCCCTCTGAAGTGACGGAAACAGCACGGGACTAGATAGAGGTCAGACCCCCAGGTTCCATCACCCGCATATGCTGTGGCCTCGGACCAGATGCTTCCCATCTCTGAGCCAGCTTCCTCATCTGTGAAGTAAGGAGACTAGGCTCTGATTTACTGGGGGCCCCTCCAGCTCTGACATTCTAGAATCCTCAGAAGGATGCAGGGATGGGGGAACCCATTCACAGGAAGTTTCAGACTTGGGCCAGAGAGTGGCAAGCAGCCCCGCTGAGGCTGCGGGGGAGGCTCGCCTCTGTGGAGGGGCTGCTGGGGGAGCAGATGGGGCAGGAAGATGGCAGCTGGCCAAGGAGGCCTGTGCCTCCACCTCCTCCACCGTCCCCACCCACACTTTGGCTTTTGGGCAGAGCCAGGGTTTAAAAAAAGCAACTCCAGTTCTTTAGCTATTAGCAGGGCTTTGTTTCCAAGGGAGCCCGCGGTGCCCAGGCCGGGCAGGCAGAGCAGGGATGCCCAGTCCGTCTGGGATGCAGATGGGCGGTGAGCCACAGAGCCAGGTGGGAAGAGCCCGCCGGGCAGTGCTCCCTTGCTTTTCTGGGGTGGTGGCGGGGGGTGGGGAGGGGAGCAGGGTAGGCCCCTTCCTGTGGCTGCTCTGCCACCCTGGCACTGACTGACTGCCAGCTAGACACCTTGGTCAGCTGTCTGTCCCCTCACACTCTCCCAAAAGCCTCTCCAGAGGGCTGCCAGGCCTCTGAGTGCTGAGTGAGGTGGTGGTTACTCTAGACCTTGCTGTTCCGGTCAGTATGCACATGTGTGCATTCAGGTGTGTGGGGTGAAATGAGAATGTGAGTGCGGCAACAGGGGCGGGGAACGGTCATAGGCAAACAAGGTCCATGGCAGGCAAGCAACAAGGCCTCTCCGGGGCGGGCGTCCTGCCTGCTGGCTCCACCCTCACCCCCGCGGGAGCCCAGCCCACCCCTCGGCGGGCTTTCCGCACAAAGCCAGTGATTTCAGCGTCCTACCAACTGCTTCTGTCTCACTCAGAATTACCACTTCGTCTGGTATGATTGCGAACAAAAGTGTTTTGATAATTTTGCTGGAGGGTTGCCATGACAATCTCTAGCGAGCTCCAAGAGGGGTGTCAGTGTGTGCACGGGAGGTAGACAGAGGAAGAGAGTCCCAGAGACTCAGGCAGGGAGAGACAGCGGAAGGGAGAGGATCAGGGAGAACCCCAGTGACATTTCCAAGTCAGACCTTCAGCCTTCCTGGCCCCCCACCCCGGCCCATTCATGCCGCAATGAGCTCATGGTCTAATCTGGGCCTCACTGTAGGCCCTGTAATGGAATACCAGCTGCTAGGGCAA